CAATGCAGTTCTGAAAATAGCATCACTGCAAAATGAAAGATGGCAAGAACCTCTACAATGCTGATTTATTTCAATGAAATTTCATCTCTTATGATCAGTATCTCTTTTGCTGTTTTCAGCTGAATTTGCATACCTAATAAATTGTAAATCTATAGAATTTGTTAATTTTGAGGTTCCAGCATAAATGTCTAAGAAGGAAACAAACAAAAAAAAAAGGAAAACAATAATAAAAAATACTCATTCACAATTTACATCATAAAATACGTAAACCAGAAAAATGCTTTGTGGATGCAAATAATTTGCATTTATCACCACTGCATGTACAGAGACACTCACAAAAAGAAACCAACACCATTCAACAAGCTGTTACGCACTTGTCTTTAACTGTGTTTCTACTAGAAGAATGGATGGGAGTGATACTTTTTAAAATATCGGTGGGTCTATACATCTTGCGTAATGCTCAGCATTTCAGACATGTGCTGCTGAGAAAACACTAAGAGGTGTTTTCTTCCCTGATTCTAAGTAGATTACATCTTTTGGCTTTCTTTCCAGTTCACTGATATGAAGGTACACTTCAGCAGGTTATTTTTCCTAATAATGAAGATTTTTAAATAGACTGGAAAACACAATTTTCAAATGAGCAGGAGCCTGATATTTTACAATCCGTTAAGGCGGCTGTCTTTTCTAATTAATATCAGCAATAAAATTGGCTTTCTTCTATCACAGACTTTATACTAAAAATAAGATTATATGTATATGAGAGGTGTCAAAATCCCTAAGTCTGACCGTGGAAACAGATGAAAAGAGTACATCATAAATATCTTGTATCTACATTCGGTCACTGATCTTATATAGGAAACGATGCTGTGTACCAAGTCCAGCTACATTCTCAGTAAGATCTACACTTGTTAGGTCCATGTGCAGAAACCAAAAATACGAATGTCCCAGTTGTGAGAGCCCTAATTCATATGACTCATATAGACTTCCCTGACTTGTCCTAATGACACCGAAACAGCAACGATGATTCATGCAAACAAAAAATGGGAACATACAACTTCTTTTCTAAAAATTTCCTGCCTGCATAAATATATATCTATTAATATGTATATTATTTTTATCCTCTGTATATTATTTTTCTCCTCAGATGGTTAACACCAATTTATCTAAGTAACAGATCAGTCTTGAATGTAATGCATAATTTAATCTCTATATACCGAGCAGGTGACTGAGGAGGAAAGAAGAATAAAAGATAAAGGAAATAGAGAAAATGAACAGGGAAGGAAAATTAGAGAAAATAAATTAAAAACACCTGTGAAGTTATGTCCAGAATGATGCAATTACAGAAACAGTACCATTGATATTGAACGGCTTCATCTGTAGGTTCATCAAAATTAAAATATCTGGTTTGTTTTGTTGGTTGGGGTTTCTTTTCTTTTTTAATCAGTACAGACATTTTTCTCACCAGGAAGCAGCAGGTATATCTTTATATCGTACACTACTCACTATCAGTAAAAATATCAACACTGCTAAGACATACTCTTTTAAAAGTATACTTAAGAATTACAACATATTTTTAAACTCAAGACTATCTATTTTGATGCAGTAGAGATAAAAGAACAGAAATAAGGTGAGTTCTATGCTACCTTTATCAGGAAACATACAAACTACATGTACGTGATAGCAATTTTTCCTGAAGTCTGTGTAGATGCAGATGATAAATAAATATATATGGCTACAAAGGAAGAAGTGCCTCACGTCCTGCGTTAGCAGTAGTGTAGTTATGGTGACAGGAGTACTACATACAACAATATTCTCACACAAGTGCAAAATATCTGCTATGCTGCATATATAATTGAGGTATTTAGAGTTGCTATGTTAAAAGTAAGAGCAAGATATCCTGTACCAATATATAATAGATCCCTAATATATGATACAATGAAAATGATGCATTTTAATGAAACTTAATATGTATCAATCAGTACTTAAGCCTTATAGCTAAAGATCAAGACATAATTACTGCTATACTTAAACAGTTCATTAAAGAAAAGTCTTCAATATTTGTGGTGAGATATTCCACCCTGGGAAGCAACAAATACAACGATACCACCTGCTCAGATTTTCACTGAAAAATTAAGGTTCCCATTTCATACAGCGCAATCCTTCACTGGAAATTCTCTATGTATTGGTGGGTAAATGTATCAGAGCCTTTTTGCCTGGTTAGAGAGGTAAAATTAAACAAATGACTGAGATTTTATCAAACAGGCATTGCTTAAACATCCAGCATTTTTTGCTAAAACTGTTTCATACTCGTATACTACTGTATTGGTGATAAAGACTTCTGAATGTTTTAGTAAAAGCACATGTTAAAATATTTACTGATGCAGAAGGAACAGATGACTGAAGGAAAAGTGATTGTACAATAATGAGTTGTTGATGAAATCATGAACTATATAGCCCTGAATATGCACATTTTTCATACAACAGCTGGGAAATACTGCTTCTTCAGACCAACTTTTTAACGAAGAGGAAAAGAGACTGAAAACAACGGGGAGAAAGCAGATAGCTAAGAACATAATATCAGCAAACCTTCAGTTCTTCAATTGTTAATACCCTTTCTTTTCTTTATCCTCTTCTCCTGTGATTTTTTCCTATTTTTACTGTTCTTAAAATATAAAATCTTTTACATTAAGGGCATTTGCGTCACTTCTCTTTGTTCTTCCCCATTTGTAATCTATAGTAGGAAACAAAACATCGCTGACAAGACCTAAAAAAGAATCCAAAAATTGTTTTCTCTTTCACCTGTTACATCGCTACTTTTTGCAAAGCAGCTCTTCCTGCACCAACCTGTTGTGCTGTCTTCTAAATGAACTAAGCCTTATTTACACTTTGATTCAATTTCAAAGGGGAAACATTACAATGAAGGATGGACAGGTGCTATAGATTTTTTCTACAATATTTCAATATTGTAGAATAATAATGAGAAAAAAAGAAAGCCAAAAGCAAGTAGATTGTGTAGAACATGAAAATGCTATTGACTAACATCATATTCTGAATTACTTAATCATAAGTATAGTTACAATTAAAGATATATTATGTAATATGTTTCCCTGTTGACAATCTCTATTATCATGACTGGCAAAAAAGGTACATTCTGAAGGGAATTAGCAAACATGGACAGAGGGACAAAAACAGTTTTAAGGAAATACCACGTCGCGTTAGGCTAAAAAGTGATCTAGACTTCTATTTTAAATTATATAATATTCTTTTCGTACAGTATTATTTTAATTTGACTAGTTTTCACATTTCCTTCTCTTTTAAAACTAGAAAAATCTATGTAGAAGATACTGTAATTAATTGTGTATGGTAACCTTATCAGCTCAATAAGAAACAGTAAATACAAGAGCTCAAACACAAGAAAAGCACTGACTGAAAAAGCCCTGGCTTTGTATTTTGTCACTCTTTGCTTCTACATGCCACATCTTTATAAACTGCAAAACGATAACATTTTAAAAGATAATTTTCCCTTCAATGAAAGGCTATATTTGTTCAACTTAGAAGATATTAAGTGGTTATTTTACACTTATCTTTGTATGCCTTTCTTTCATTTAATACTGTGAGCATCCCTTTGAGTCTTTCATAATGGAACTGATACTCAGAACTGAATCCAATTATAAAAACCTACCAGCAGTACTAATTGGTGAAAATGCATTGCTGGTAATTGCTGTAAACTCATCCTTCTGCACAGGATGAACGAGGGCAATAAATTCTACCCAGCGTTACACAATAGGAAAGACATTACCATTAACACTGGTTTTCTTATGTAAAATGCATTAAAATGAGTCATCCACTTAAAAGTTAACTACTGGTAGCTTTAACCCAGATTCAGGGACTAAGGTAAATGCTTAAAAAAAAAATAAATATAAAAATAATAAGGTGAGGAAGCAAGAATTAAAAGGAAGAAGACACGGTCATTACTCTATAGTGTTTTGGTGTAGGTTTCTTGTTTAATTATTTTTTTTTTCAATCTGTAGGCGAATCTTAAATGTGATGTATTGGCTTATTTTTGCCTTTCTTTTATTGCGTACTTACGTTATGTGTTCTTTGCCCTGCTCTGGGCAACACTTCCATGCTAATGCTTTAAAGATTTCTATCTCACGGCTACGCCAACCAGAAAGCTGCTGGCACCGAGGGCATCCCTCAGCCCTGGCAAAGGTGATTTGGGAGCAGGAAGGGTTTGCGAGGCCAGCGCTGAAGGAGACAGTTCTGTACTTGGGGAGCTTTAGGCGTGCCGAAGCCCCTCCGGTATGGCACACGGCTGCGCGCACCCGGCACCCCCCCCCGCCTCCGGGGACAGAAACCGAACCCCGCCACTGTCAAAACAGCCGCGGTGTGCGCGGGAACACGGCCGGGTCGGGCTGAGCCTCAGCACAGGCTCAAAACTCCGAGCGATGCTCGCCCGCCCTGTCTCACACGCCGGCCGCAAACAGGAGAAGAAAAACAAAAAATAAAAAAATCTGCTTTTTGGGTGAATTTTAATCGAATGGCTAAAATTTTAATTTTTTATTTTTTTTTTTTTAATAGCGTTAAAACTCCGGCCAGGCTGAACTAACCTTTGTGGGAGGAGGGGGCGGGCTCAGTGTAACTCGAAACTTTCCTCTCAGCGCGGCCGAGCCGGCGGGGGGGTGTTGGGAGCCGGGAGCCGCGGCGGAGCGGCTCCGGGAGGCGAAGCCCTCAGCTCAAAAGTACCGCCACCGGCGCACTCCCCTCGCCCCGGAGGGACCCTCCGCTACCCTCACTCCTTCCCAAGCAAAAACCAGCCGAAATCCTGCAATTTTACCTCACCGCCACTTTCCTCACGGACTTACTTTATTTCCCTTTGTATTTTCGCCGGCGCCGCGCTCTCCCCGGCACAGAGATGCCGCCGTACCCCCCCGCCCCGACCATGCCCCCCCACACACACACACCCCAGCCCCGGACCTCCGGACCCCGAGGGGACTTACGTGGTGGCCGAAGGGAAAGGTCCCTCCGAGGAGTGGTTCATCACCAGGGACTGGAAAAGTGTCAGGCTAAAGACCAGCAGCCAGCCAGCAGCCATCTTCCTGATCGAAGATCGATCCCCCTTTCCCCAAGTCGGCGAGACGGCAATAATAATAAATTCAATTATTGTGTGTGTGGTGGTGTGGGGGGGGCTGTTGTTTTTTAAAGCCTCCTCCGCTGCCCC